AACCCCGTAGAGACCTTGAGAATCCTTACAGAGTTTTTACAAGAAAGCTACCATAATTTCTGGTAGCTTCCTGGTAGCTTCATGGTAGCTTTCTGGTAGCTTCCTGGTAAGTTTCTGGTAGGATTCTGGTAGCTTCTTTGTGGTCTTAGAGATGACCGGTCCTGCGCGCCTGCAATCCATGATTGAAAATTTGGTCTTCACGCTTAAAAGCTGAGCTGATCCATTTTGCATTAATCTTTTGCTACCAGCAGCACTAAGCAGCAGCAGCAATCGCTCACAATGGCAAGGAATGCAACAAAGAAGGGACCAAAGCAGTTAGATCAGGAGAAGCATCCTGAGCTAGTGTATGASAGATTAGAGCTGTCGAAGCGCATTGYCTGTTATAACTTCTGGCTCTTTTTGTATACAGAAGGAGAAGAAGGCTGGTCTCCTACSGACAAGCCCGGATCTATCTGGAAGTATCRAAGCTCAAACTATATTAGGCAGAGCATCAAGGAATCTAGTTGGGCAAAGATTGGAAAGGTAAGCAAATCGTTGCCGCTGCTGTGTCGCTGTCGCTGGCTGTCGTGCAGCTCACCGGCCGCTTGCTCTTACTACCACCAACAACAGGCTATGGCCACACTTGCACAAGACCTAGAAAAGAGAGGAATCAAGCTTGTAGACCCTTTGAGAGAACACAGACAGCGTCGACAGCAACAGCTCAACGAATCATCAGAAGCAGACAAGTCCATTGCATCCTCCCGCCACGAACAAGACGACTCATTGGTAGCAGCATCATCTGTAGCGTCTGAAGAAATACCACCAAGCATGCCCACCAGCAAAAAGGCTGTCCGAATTTCAAGCCCTGGTCGTGGGGGGGGAGAAGAGGAAGAAATAGTTTCTAGCCTCAGGAAACTCTCTTTCAAAGGCCCTATCCAAACTATTAATGGATCACTCCCGTATCCCATGCTCTCTGGTCGCTGGGAGGTATTTGATTACAGAGCAAAGGTATTGAATGGCTTTTGTCTGATGAGGATGCTCCTTCACAGTGGGACAAAGGAAACAGACTATTCGATTGAATGGATTGACTCAAGAACTTTGAAGCTCAAGCTCAAATGGCCCATCTTCATGCAGAATGCTCTCTTTATGACTGGATTGGATACCTACTCAGACGCAACACCCGGTCTACACTTCCATGGGGAAGAACTCAAGCGACATGGAAGAGGATGATGGCTTCATCTATTCTGAAGGCTTGTTTAGATTTGAGAAGCCCATGGACTGCTCTGATGACAAGTACAAGGCAGACGTCTTTGAATGCCCAGTAGATGCAAATGGTAACAAAGGAACTATCCTCCAGATCTTATTCCTCGAGAAGAGGAAGGATGAAAAGAAGCCTTTTGCATCCCCTGTTGCCATTAAGCAATCAAGTATCAGATTTAGTAAGTCACCTCAGCAACAGGCCCTTGATGAGCAACTCGCRCRGCAACAACAGCTTGAAGCAAGGATTGAGCAACAGAAAAAGCTCCAAGCACAGCTTCTAGAGCAGCAGCGTCTGGCCCAGCAGAGGGAGGAGCRCCAGCAGCTGGAGCAGGAGCACACGCCTAGTAATAAGAGACAAAGAACTAACACTTCCTTTGCTTCTCCACACCACCAGCCTAATCCTCCAGATGAATGACTAGTAGTCGAGCAGCTGCTCTCTGCCAGAATGTTGAGCAGTAATGAGGAGGATTYGTTTCATTCAACTGATTCATCAATCAAGTCCTCTATTAAGGACCCAATCATTGCCTTCCAAGCAGCCAAAGGACACTTAGACAGTCTTGAGCAGTATTTCAAGCAATGGAAGGAAGGATAAGAAGCGTTGAAGTAGTAGTAATTATGAATAGTAGTATTACAAGACGCTACTAGTACTAATAGTAATTACGCGAGTCACGGGAGGATCTCCTAGTACTCCTACTACGTGGTGGGCCAATCCCTCTTAACTGTCGCTGCACCAGCAGTTCCAGAACCAGCAGGCTCGATTGAATTTCCAAAGGCCCAGAAAGAGTATACCAGCTGTTGAGTCAGTCATTAGGGGATTGCTCCTGTCCATTACCACTGCTCTTTCAAGCCACTCCTCTTGTCAGGGACTATCGATGGTCTTAAAGTGCTTTCTACTACACTAGCCTATTAGCCTACTAAAAGTATCCGACTTCATAATCCAATCCATCTTCAAATGTAGTTTCACCATTGGCAAACTTGAGCTGGGTAATAACAGCAACGGCGTTGAAACACATTCCATGCTTCTTTAGCATTCCTGCCCTGTTTGGTTTCATGTGCCTGAAATGAGTAGTGAGAACATTGAATATCTTGAGGCGCCCATTCACAGTTTCATGCTGTGCTCGGGCATTAGATTTCATCTTCCTTTGTTTGCTGGTCATCCCCATATCTGGAAGCTTCATCTAGTACAGTAAAAACGAGTGAGTGGAAGTGCTGAAAATACACTAATTCCCATGGTCGGTTGCTTTGAACCGGTTAGTTTTCTTTAGAATGAAAGAACAGTTTAGTTCACTGGAATCAGCACGCTGGAGGTAGGTAAAGGTCACGACAGTGGGCCTCAGTACAATTTTGTACCTGCAATCAAAACCCTTCTATTTTGACCAAAATGGCAAGGCAAGTACCTTGATCCACGATTTTCTACAGGATTTTCTACACAGCTTTGTACTAGGATCCATCCAGATAGATCAATTTTGCTCCTCCTTGAGCAGGACTGCTGCTACTACGTAGTGTACCACTGCCTAGTACTAGTAACAAGTACTGCGGGACCCACCAGTAGTACGCAAGACGCATGATGTCTAAGTAATATCTGAAGGGAAGTTTTCTCGCAACCATCAAGCTACCATCAATCTACCAGAAAGTAGCCAGGACTCTACCAGAAAGTTACCAAAAAGTTACCAGAAAGTTACCAGAAATTCTGGTAGCTTGGTGGTACATTGATGGTAGTAGCTTGATGGTTGCGAGAAAAATTCCCTCAGATATTACTACTAGTTGGGATTAAACTCAACGGTCAGAGTTGGTCACATTATATATAGATATATCCAACATTTAAAATTAATATACCTGGCATTGGTCCAGTCCCGGTTGATATTAATAATGGCCAACTGTTCAGTAGCACGCCTGACCAACCATACAAATATCCTGGTTACCAAAATGTTGCGCGAAACGCGCGGTAAAAATGCTGATTCGGAAGGGTCCAGAACATCGTTTCACAAATTCAAGATTCCCCCACACGCTGTCACTTTTTGAAGAACAAACACTTCGGTCACAAAAGTAGTAACGCGCACCTCTTNATATATTTCTGTTATTGTCAAGAATTACCTCCATCATATGTCTGTTTAGTATGGAAATTGCCTTCAGCTTGTAAATGAAAGCAATTCTGCTCAATCGACGTATCGACTTAGCAGATTTTTTGCTGTACTCTACTGGCATGGTATGCCGGCAGCAGAAATCAGTACGATGTACACATCCGTATAATTGTACATGATTTCCTACTGTTGCATTTTTTGTTGCATTATGTTCAAATACCCCCACTGTACGTACGTTAAATAGTTTATGGTAGGGTTACAGTACAGTACGTAACCGTTGAGCAGCTCAACATTTCCATGTACTCAGCTTGCGTGGTATTTTTTAGGTACACGATTTGTTGAGTAGATCGCGCCGTACAAACACTAGTTATTTTTTGCCAAAGTACATGCACCTCAACTGGTTACAAACCACGCGGACTGAATTTTGTAACCAGAATTTGTAACCAAACCCTTTCCTAAGGAGAGCCCATATTTTTTACACGATACTACTGCTAGTCTGGTTACAAAAAAAAAGGGTCTGGTTACAAAAACAGGCGCACTGGTTCCCTTGTGTGCGCATGTAACCAGGCAAACGCACCTCAACAGGTACAAACTAAAAACTGTCTTCACTACTGCTGTAAATACGTAATAGTATCAGTACCAGTAGTACACAGTACAGTATCTTGAACGAGGAGTACTAAATTCAGTGAAAAACTCATCTCAATTGCTATTCCAGTACAAACTCGTGTAGAAAACACCGTAGAAATATTGATTTGCAGGGGGAAACAAGCAAAACACCAACCAGCAGAGGAACACCGTATCGTATCAGCAACTTGTATTGGCAACTCATATCAACGACTTATATCAGCGACTTGTATCAGCGTCCTCCATATCAGCATCCTCTGTATCAGCGGCTCCTCCGTATCGTATCAGCTGCTCGTATCGTATCAGCAACTCGTATCGTATCAGCGGTTCATCCATAGTATCAGCGAGAATCTGTATCAGTAGCGAGCCTCCGTATCAGTAGCGAGCGTCCTGCGTACTATCAGCGAGCGTCCTTCGGCTGCAGCAGCGCTGAGTACATGGAAATGTTGAGCTGCTTCAGCAACGGTTACGTAAATAACTGTGGAGGAGCTCCGCTTCAGCCCAACAAGTACTGTCTTCAGCAACAGCACCACCAACAAGCTCTCGAGCTTGTTGGTGGTGCTGTTGCTGAAGACAGTACTTGCAGTAACGTCACTTTGGTCTCGAGCTAAAGCTCTCGGCCTCAGTGACGTTACTGGTGTACCAAAATCGAACCAGAAAATGTACTCTGTTGAGCTCCGTGTTATTTGTGTGGGAAAAATTTTGTACTGTGCGCTCGAGAGCTTTTTGGGTACACGCGCTGCGCGAGCTCCTCCACAGATATTACATACCGTACAAAAGTTGTTCAGAACATCGTTTCACAAATTCAAGATTCCCCCACACGCTGTCACTTTTTGAAGAACAAACACTTCGGTCACAAAAGTAGTAACGCGCACCTCTTCTTGGTGGTAGTACGGTATAGCGGTTTTTGAAGTGTGGATGCCGTTGGCCCATCAAGATGGAAGATGCGAGTGCGAACATGATTATGAGTGCCACACCGGCATCACTTCGTCGATTCGACAACAAGAACAGCTGCAAGGTCAACCACATCTTTCATAGCAATCGTCAAGCATCGAACGACCACAGCGCCAAACGACAAAAGAGAATTATACAGAAGGCAACAGGAAGGACCGCATTAGAAGCATAGAAAAGGGAATCGAATCGAATCGAATCGAATCCGAACAAGTCCACAAATCTGTTTCTACAAGATCGATAAACAAGCATGCGAGAAAGAGCGAGAGGGGGAATATCATTTTGTGACCGTTGGTTATACCTCTTGGTCGCCTGCGCGGTGGTCTCTGTCTTTTATTTTGACCGTTCCATGCTTCGAAGTGTGGAAGAGCATGTTTTCAAGTTTTCGACGGAGGAGACTGGGAGCAGTAGAATCACTTCTACTGCTGGAGATTCATCACCTCCGGTACCTTCGTCTACCTGCATTGGATACCGGGAGTATCCGTTCCCCGAGCACCACTCAGGGTTGCCGTACCTTGCGGACGCCTTTGCCTCGTTCGATGCGTCGACGGTCACCTTTGTTGGAATCAACCGAGGCAAGTGCGACGAGGAATGGAAGGAGGCCGATTCTTTTGCCAGCTTTCACGTGGAACAGTATCACCGCTTCTTGTGCGTGTTTCGGGGTATAAGCGACGCTAGCAACGACGAAGAAGTTGTATACGTACTCAGCGACTACATCGAATCGACCTGGCCGCACGATCCTGTCTACCTTATTCAGTGCCAGCTGCCGGAGGTGTTTAGGCACCTTATCACTCCCGGACAGACCTTGACGAATCTTCACGTCGATCTACGCTCCCTTGAAGACATGGAACAGGACAAGGGAGGATCCTGGGGAAACCACCGGAGGCGGAACCCTCCCCGTAGCATGAGTGATGGTGATGAGGACAGCGACAGCGATGCCGGCTATCGTAGCAGTGCTAGCTTGGCTCTAGACGTCCTCCCATCGATTTCGAACATTCCGATATGCCACCCCGAGTCGGTGCACGTTTCCAAGTTTTCGAAGCGCAATTCACAGCATCCGGACGACTCATCCCACCTGCAACCCAACCAGTTCCGCCTCGTCGGATTCCTCCCAATCACCTCGTCGTACGCCATCGACTCCCGTGAGGGGGCCGAAGACTCGACGGTGTGGTCGTCTAGCGCCCAGAGACTTCCAGAGTGGATCGATTACCACCGAATGCAGGGATACGACCACTTTGTGATCTACGACAACGATCCGCTGCCCAACGGCCCCATCTATCAAATCCTGATCAACGAGGGCCACATTGATTCCGGGCTTGTCTCGTACCGGTGGTTCCCTCTCAAAAATTGCATGTCAAGCGTCGAGCACCGCCGCATGGACACGGCGCAGGTCAGCGGATCGATGGCAGCCCTCCATCGGATCGGATTCAGCACCGAATTTTTCAGCTACCACGACGGGGACGAGTATCTTGTGCCGCTACGAGCATCGAAGAGAAAGTCGGAGAGTCCTTCAAGAGCCACCATCCTTGAGCTCGCGGAAGACATCTTCGAAGCCAAGCCAGAAATCGACGCGATCGAATGGGTCCCGACCGTGATGGCCCCATGCAACGGGACCGTGGTCGAAGCGGGCGGTTCCGTAGTTGCCAAGTGGCAGTGCCTAACGGATCAGCACTATGCGGACGTGAAGCTGATCGTGAGGACGGCCACAATTTTCTATTTTTGCATCCACTATCCGGTTGTGAGGAAATACACAAAGGAAAGGGGAGACACGTCACCGGAGGCCTATCGGTTGGACGATACCACMGAGGGTTATCTCGCACACTACCGGGCAGAAAACGATCCGAACGGATCCTGGCGAGACGACTATGCCGGGCTTGTAAGCAACGAGTGGACGGACCGCATTGACTACATGGACGGATTTTTGGCGTCGAGAGGGGTTGAAGGATTCCCGCGCACTTCGCAGTCGTCCGCCTCCGGAATCGGTGAGAAACCGAAAACCAAGCCGAAAACTAAGCCGAAAACCAAGCCGAAAACCAAGCCGAAAACCAAGCCGAAAACCAAGCCGAAAACCAAGCCGAAAACCAAGCCGAAACCGGACCGAAAACCAAAGAAAAAGAAGAAAAAAAAGAAAGAAAAGAATATCGAGGCCGAGTCGGAGAAATCATTAACTGCGAAGACGAAACCAGAACGTCGAGACGGAACAATCAGTGAGGAGTAGATCGCCTATCGCAGAAGAACGACCAAGTACGGTAGATTCAGCTCGGAGTCGTATCATGGTTGGTCAAAAGAAACGATGTGGACGCAAAAACTACTATACTACGTTTCTCACTACGTAAAACTATTAAAATCTCTTAGWTTTTGGTATCGTTGCCTAGACATGGGTGTTCAAACATCAGAGCAAGCGCATAATACGTTCCAAGGTGTTGGATTTTGATTACTGTACTTGTGTGTTAGTCAATCGCATCGCACTCAAATGGATGCCATGCGTTTCTTGATTTGCGCAATCGCCTTCCCGGGATTGAGATGCTTTGGACAGACCTTTGTGCAGTTCATGATGGTGTGGCACCGGTAAAGCTTAAAGGCATCGTCCAGTTCGTCGAGCCGCTTCTTGGTCTGGCCGTCCCGGGAGTCCTCGATCCATCGATACGCCTGCATCAGGACGGCTGGTCCGAGGTACTTGTCGGCGTTCCACCAGTACGACGGACAGGAGGTCGAGCAGCAGGCGCAGAGAATGCACTCGTACATGCCATCGAGCTTGGCCCGGTCCTGTTTGCTCTGTAGAAATTCTCCCTCCAGCTTGGTGTTCCCGTCTTTTCCCGGCTCGGCCCGGGGGGTGTTGGCGTCGGTTTGCAACCACGGTTCGATGCTCCGGTACTGCTCGTAAAAATTTCCCATGTCCGGGACCAGGTCCTTCAGAACGTACATGTGGGGGAGGGGGTAGATCTTGGTCGCCGTCTTTGTATCGTCATCGATGTAGGCGAGGCACGCCAGTGTGTTGCTCCCCTGGATGTTCATGGCGCACGAGCCGCAAATTCCTTCCCGGCAGCTACGGCGAAAGGTGAGGGAGGGATCCTGCTCATTCTTAATCTTGAGAAGGGCGTCCAGGACCATGGGGCCGCAGTCGTTCAGATCGACGGGATACGTGCTAAGGTACGGCTTTTGGTTTTCCTGCTCTGGGTCCCATCGGTARACCTTGAAGTATTTGATGCGTTGCGATTGATTCGATGTGGATTCGGAAGAGTCTCCAACGCCCTTTTTCATATCGGTTTCTGTGGAGAAGAAACGGGAAGGAAAGGAGGATAAACTCGCGGTAGCTCTCTACAGGGTGTGGCAAAAAACATTTTGTTTTGAATCCAAGCCAAGAAAGGTCGATGCAGCGCAGTCCAGTCCAGTCCAGTCCAGTCCAGTTCGATCCGATCCAAACCAGGTTCAAATACAAACGCAAAAAGTGCATGGTATTCATCAGCAAACGCATCGCCAAGCAAACAAAGTGGTGAGAATGGAAGCGCCGACGGAYGTTTAATGCGTGGCAATGTATACCCTTTTTCTACAAACTAGATTCACATMGTGGCCATCTCTTGCTTCCGCSGTGACTTACGGTAACCGGAGAAGCAGAAGCGGCAGCGAAGCGTCTGGTCGCTGCTGTKGTTACTACTGTGGAAAACATTGTTCCTGGTTTGATAGAAGCGAGCCTATATGCACCGCTGTATTATTGATGGAATGTTTGGYTAGTG